GATCAACTGTTTTTTATGCTATTTGTTTTCATATTTTATTCAATAACTGCGTACCTGCTCATGTGCAGCTTTGTCTCTCATCCCCTCTTGTTTGCTTCTCAGCTTGACCCTGGAGCACACAGGAGGCCTTATCTTGTCTCTGGAAGGCAAACACAAATAATTCTGAAAAACCCTGAGAGACTGACCCCAACCTTTTCTCCCTCTGCTGGGAGACAAACTTCCCTGAAAGACGGCTTCATATCTTTGGCTCTTGTTTTTGGGAGGGATGAGTCTTGTATGAGTACGGATGGTTTATTGCAATAAATAACACTTCATCCATCCATTATCTATACACCGCTTAATCCTCACGAGGGTCGCGGGGGGGCTGGAGTCTATCCCAGTTGATTTAGGGTGAAGGCAGGGGACACCTGGACAGGTCGCCAGTCCATCGCAGGGCTACACTTAGAGACAGACAACCAAGCACACTCACTTGCTCTTTGTAATTTACTAATTCCCAACGACATACAGCATATTTTCAAACGAGGATATCCTTACCAGACATCACGAACTATAATAATCACAACCTTTATGGCACATGGCTAACTTTAATTAAAATTTAAATATGGCAAAATGTGTAGTTCATTTTAAGGCGCCTGGTTAAGTCAAAGTGGAACTTTCTGTACAAAACAGGAAGAGATTATACAAGAGAGATTTTAGTGCACATTTATAGTCAATGACTGTGGTATTGATTTAGACTGTGGACAAAATAACGAAAAGACCTTGTTTTTTATGCACAAAATAAATAAAGTACACATGAAGACACTGTTAGTCCTTGAAATTTACGGACACAACACACTTGCATCACCACAGTGAAGCACAATACCAGAGTTTTGGATCATTAATAGTCTCTGGATTTCTTTTCTCTCTCATTTCCTGGTTTTAACTTTATTGGGGAAAGCTGAAAGTGGCTCAAACACCTTTAAGACTGCATCGTTTCACACTCCTGGTCGCTAGACGGCAGTATATCTCACATTTTCATCTCTCTTCTTCTCGGTGGTTTTTGCGCAACAATTCAAAATCCAATATGGCGGCCTCCAGGTTAGCATGTTTGGGGATAAATGCCCTTTATTCTACAGTCTGCGCTCCAAAACAGGTAACTTACTTATTATAACCTTGCGTGTTTTGGTTGAAGCGTTTTAATTAAAGCTGCGTCACACATCTCCGACAGAAGAATGGAGAAAGTAACAGGGACTGTGTTAGAGGAATAACTCGCCTTCTGACGTTAGCTCCGAGGCTAATGCTAGTTAGCTTGACGTGCGGGTACAAGTGGTTTTAACGTTGTATTAAGCTAGTTAACTAACAATAACTCACTCCTGTGTGTAGAGTTAGGTTCATGGGAAAGAAATTGAAACGTGTCTTAGGAGTTTTATCTGTGACGGTTTAATATTTTTTGTATTTTTTAAGCTAACGCTGCTCTACAGGTATTCTTACCTTTGACAGCCCTGAACCTTCTTCATACCAGTTTGTTGTTGAAGTCCAGAGAACGACATAAGAAGATGTTATCAAATTATTAAAATGCACTTTTATGGTCGTAAATGAACAAATGAGTCTTGTAGGGACCTAAACTCGGTGGACACTTGACTGAAAACATCTTTACAGTCTGTTAAATACAACACAGTGCATTTGGACTGTACCATTGTGTTTAGGCAGCACAGAGGAGTTTGAAATTAAGATGATAAAAAAAAGCAGTCCTCCAGGGATCATTAGAGTTTGGTTTATCTAAATTAACTATACAACCTACTGCCTGAGCTCCAGTATTCTCCTGCTTGACTTCACCAACATCCACATACTGCTATAACACATAATCTAAGGCAGGGGTGTCGACATCCGGTCCTCGAGGGCCGCAATCCAGCATGTTTTAGATGTGTCCTTCTTCCAACACACCTGATTCAAATGATCAGGATCGTTATCAGACTTCTGCAGAGCTTGATGATGAGCTGATCATTTGAATCAGGTGTGTTGGAAGAGGGAAACATCTAAAACATGCAGGATTGTGGCCCTCGAGGACCAGGATTGGACACCCCTGATCTAAGGCCGGTATAATCAGTTTTATCTATTTAAAATGCATGTTTCCAGCCATAGTTTCTCCCAGTAAACTTCACAGATGACATGTTTATTAGTTTATTAGTGATGTTAAGCATGTTGAGTCTTGTACATAAAGCATAAAACAGCACAGAAGAGTAGAAATGAGCAGCCAATGGTTGGGCAGTTTTAGGCTTTTGTGTAAGTAGGTAGAGATTTTTTTATTTTTTTTTTAATAGTAATAATAATAATAACTTTATGTATATTGTAGACAAAGCATAAACAGGACACCCAGAGGGGGAAACATAATTTGGAAGCAGGACAGTAAGGCCAAACAAAACAGAATCAAGGTGAAATTAAGGTGTGGTTAAAACAAGGGGACAAAAGACAAAATACATATATCTCTAAATCTAGATAAAATAAGTTAAACTATGATGACCTTACAAGGAAATATAAAGACGTTATAATGTTAAAGCAAGTCTATAAAAATGGGGTTGAAGAAGGGATTTATATAAAAAGAGTCATTGACTTTAAGCTAGTAAGCTTTATTTGAATTGCCCCCAGGGGATAAATAAAGTTATCTGAATTTAATTGAATTGAATTATCTCCTCAAGCAGGTTGTTCAAAAGCACAGGGTCCCTGATGACAAAAATCATGATCACCTGTAGATTTATGCCTTGACTGTAGAACAGCCAGAAGGGCCCACTCAGGATCTAAAACTGGATAATATGGCATCAACAATTTTACTGGGTAACCTGGGGCAAGGTTCAGATGAGATTTTAAAAATGATCAGTAAAATATCAGCATCAACTCTAAAACAAGCAGGGAGCAAAGACTGGAGAGAAGCTACGTTTGAGGTGATGTATTGTCATCAGCTAAAACCTTTCAGAAGCTGAGATGCTGCATTCTTCGCTAGCTGGAGGGAAGAGAGTGGCTGTTGGTTTATGCCAGAAAGGAAGAAGTTACAATATTCAGGTTGAGAGAAATTAGTTCCTGGTTAAAGTGTGAGAGATAAAATTAGTAAAACTCTGTTCTGGAGATGATTCTTAATTGCAGAAAGCAGGAAAGGACACCTTGTCTGGAATAATATCCTGTCCGAACTGCCTGTAACATTTGGTTCAGACCAGTTTGACCCAGTTACTCTGCATGTGGTACACGGGCTCGATGTTAGCTGTCAGTCAGTAACGGCTGAAACGCTGTTTGCAGGCACTGCGGAGCTGCTGGGGTGCAGTGGAGCAGGTGAGAGGTTACTATGTTGACTGGAGGATGCTGAGGGACGTCAAGAGAAGACAGATAGCCTTTGACTATGCTGATGAGAGGCTACGGATCAATGCGCTGAGGAAAAACACCATCCTGCCCAAAGAGCTTCAGGTAGACTGCATTTGTTCTACGTCTATCAGTGGCACACCAAACAAGTTATATGCGGTCAGGTCCGTAAATATTTGGATTTTGACACAGTTGTCAGCATTTCGGCTCTGTACACCACCACAGTGGATTTGAAATGAAACGATCATTGTCCAATTACTTTTGGTCTCTCAAAAAGGTGAAGGGCACCAATAAAATGTGTTGGAGTTCCTACACCGTTGACCTGATTTGGATGTAAATACCCTCAAATTAAAGCTGAAAGTCTGCACTTAAAGCACATCCTGATTGTTTCATTTCAAATCCACTGAGGTTGTGTACAAAATGCCAGAAATTGTGTCAATGTCCAAATATTTATGGACCTGACTGTAGAGTGCTGGACAGTCAATCTTTAACACTTGTTCAAAACACATTTACTTTTGTGCTTAGTATATTAAACAAACCACTCGTGTGCTTTGATGCACTGCACAGTAACTAGTGGAGGAAAGGCACCTGAAACATATGTGCAATGTATAATATATTTTTTGGGTTATTTAATTCCTAATACAAAGCGGTCTATGTATTTTCTTGGTGTTCAGTGAAATTCTTTGTCAGAACTATGCAGTTTTTTTGTGATCTTTTTGGGAAATAAAGAATGAAAGCCAGTACCCCAAATAATTCCAAGTTATTTGAAACGTAGATGTAAAAAAAACAAAATCCTAAAACTTTTTCAAATCTTCGCAGGAGGTAGCAGACAAAGAGATTAAAGCGCTACCCAAAGACAGCTGCCCTGTGAGGATACGCAACCGGTGCATGATGACTTCCCGACCTCGAGGAGTGAAACGGAGGTGGCGACTGAGCCGCATTGTCTTCCGTCATCTAGCTGACCACAGTCAGATGTCTGGGGTCCAGAGGGCAAGGTGGTGACTGCTGCCTCATTGGACATTTCTGTCAGATTGCAATATGAAAAAGAAGCTGTTTCAGTGGTTTTGGGGCAGAAACGTTGGACATCAGTATTTCAGACTTCGGTAAATTATGTTTGGTCTAGACAGTGAGTTGCTTTTGTTTTCTCATGGCTGTTCAAAATATGAAAAATGACAATTACAATGTGACTCCTGATAAGAGCAAATGTCAGTTTAACTTGCTGTACTCAAATGGAAAAATAAATTTTATTGTACTTTACGTTTGTCGTAAGTGTCTTGGTTTGTTGTAAATGCTGATACAGAGACGAGCGATATTTAATAGCATTTATTATATAATATAGTCAACAAAAACCATAGTTGGTTCCCTTCTAACAATACTGACTGAGGACTCACTTGACAAATTTGAACAATTTTCAGCAATCTGACCATTATTTCCAAAGCAGTGCCTTTTTTTTTATTTTTTAAGACAACTCTTACTGTTTATTCAGTATACAAGTGGTATAAAGCTTTTTAAAAGTTGCATACAATAACAAGCATTAAAAATTGAAGTGTCATGTAAGTCTTGTCATAAATTATTTGGTGACTTGACCACTTGGGGCCGGTAGGTGGCGGTAGTGCTCCAACAGCGTTTACTTGCCAACCTGCCAATAATGAAGCAGAAGAAGAGACGCCGCTCACTGGCTGGATCCATCTTTTATATGCAGCATGATACAGGCAGCCTGACTGGGTCAAAGTTGCAAAGTACTGCAGATTCAGAGCAGAGAAGAAGCGCTAAACCATTTCTGGACGTAGCTGATACAGACAAAGCCTAAATGGATCTAACCGAACAGGTGAACATAACATTTTTCATTCATTTATCATCGCAAAACTAAGGTTTGTTAACTGAGGTAGCTGACTGGACGTGATTATACTGAGAGCTGCGCTACGTTAGCTAGCAATTAGCAAGTCACCGTGAACCGCCATAATAGTGTATGTTATCATGTGTCACGGTTAAGCAACGTTATTTATATATATATGTATTTGTAAAGTAAACTGAAACGCTTGTTTGTTAAACATAGTACTGGCAGGTCATGTCAGGAGGCGTGTTTTAGCGGATAACTAGCAAGAAGTTAGCCTGCTAGCTTAGCTGTTAGCTTCAAGTGGAGTTCACCAGAACATTCTAGCAACATAGTTAACACAGCTAGCGTGCTGCTGAGCATCAGGGCTGGGTTACTTATGGGCTTAGCACCGAAGTGAAATTGGAAAATGTCAGATTATTTGAATTGACTGGCATCTTGGAATAGCTAGGAAGGATGGTAGCATCCTTCACGTGTTGTGAATGGGCAATCCGTCCTGTGCCAAGTATGTCCACTCAGTGACACTTTATCATGAGTTCACAACACTACAAAAAAAAACCAAAACTATGCAGTTATTGCATGCAGCCTTTCTTGGATACTGTAAAGAGTCCTGCAAGTGTACAATTGTGTATGTCCAACTTACAGATTTAGCACAGAAAGATTTTGCTGGAAGGCAGAAACCAAGCAGTTATCTTGGATCAAACGGTTTTTTACAAAATTATCATCTTAGCTGCAGCTGTGTTGAATGCCTTGCAGATAGCAGGGTTTCGTAGTAAAAACTAACTTTGTAGGAATGTGCACAGTAGCGAAATTAAGACGTACAACTTTACATCTTTTGCAACATTTTGTCAAATTGTGTTTTTGGACAATCAAACAAATTAAGAAGTATTGTGTCTGGAATTTAGACTGACTATAAAATGTGTTGATACAGCATCTGAACTGATTACCCTTTCTGTGATCTCATTTTTTCCCCCTTGAACAGATCAACCAGTTGGAGGCAGACTTGCAGGAGCTGGGGTCCCTCTTGGAGAAGGCAGAGAGGAATAGAGTGCAGGAGCTGTTGAAACAGGAGCAGAAGAAGGTGGAGAAGGAGCTCGCAAGCAAACGACAACAGAAGGAGCAACAAGCCAGGAGAGAGGCAGACCCAACCGCTGCCTCTAAAGCAACATACACAGTCAAGATCACGAGCTATGGTGTGGGCCATTGTTTATTATGACTGTCAGTATTTGTGACAGGATGCAAGAATTGAACTAGTGTCTAAAAGCTGTTTGTGTGTCTTCTCTGCAGCCTGGGACCAGTCTGACAAATTTGTCAAAATTTACCTTGCATTGAAGGATGTGCACAAAATTCCATCAGAAAATGTGGAAGTAAACTTTACAGAAAGGTAAGGTGGTAATCAACATACAATATTCGCTGTTTGTTAATTGCGTGCCGTGAAGCACACAATTAAATTGGCTCGTTTTCTTTGTCGTAGGTCATTATCTGTGCTGGTGAAGGATCTAGATGGCAAAAACCATCAGATGACAATTCTCAACCTGTTATATCCGATTGATGAAAAGGACAGCTGCAAAAAGGTGAGTGATGCTTAAACACAGGGATGCACATAACTTATTTGGTTTAGTCCTCGGAGGGGTAGCAGGAGGTGTTGTTATCCTACAAGTTGTCATCCTTACTCCCCTTCTGACTCCTCCCCTCACTGTCTTCAGCTGTTTCAAACGCGGTTGATGACTTCTTTCTCCCTGGTGGACACTATGATGAGATGTGTACATCCAGAAGCCAAATGCTGGCTTTGGTCCAGAATTGTGGGTCTCCATCAGGGAGTGTGGTTATAGTGGAGTTTCTGTCAACAGTCTACATTGTCCGATTTTTTTCTGAAGCATGCTAAGAAGAGTTGTGGGAAAACTTGTGTTTCTTGAGGGTAAGTAGATAACTCAAAAATTTGAAATTGATCTTATGACTTAACAAATTCACGTTTGTTATCAAACTCCCCTTCTCTAACAAATCCTGTCCTTGTGAAAGGCGAACAGAAAAATATCGCCTCAGTCGGTTTGCCCTGCCTCCTGTCAGGAGTGGGGCCGGATTTGTAATGCTGCTTGCACCATAATTCAAATTACACGATATTCATGTGTTCTTTACTCTTCTTGTGTTTATCAACAGCTGAATGACTGAAAGTATGTCACCTCAAATAAATGGCACCATTTTTTCAGTTAATAATGGGATTTGCAGGAGATGTTTTGCACCCCGTCTCTGTGCACTCATCTGTTTGGAATCTCCTGCAGCCACTCTTCTGCAAATATTTATATAAAGAAGGTGTAATACCACAGTAATCTCAAAATCTTGAAGCCAGAGAAAAATGTTGTAATGTTGGCTAACTACTTGCTGGAGCAAAAGGTTTAAAAGACACATTCACTTAGTTGACAAGGAAGGCTAAAAGTTCTACAATTGATTACTTGTTGATGCAAAAGCGTTTGTGATTGTAGCATCTGCTGTGCGTTTTACATTTTAACAAAACACACACAGCCGTATGTCCACCACTGTCTATACCTCAGTGTGAAGAGATGTTGGTATGTTTTGATGAACGACGCCATCGTGAGTCATTTGCTTTTAAGAAAGGCAAACCAATGCAGTGAGTCTTTCAGTTTGAGGTTAACTGGTTTGTCTGACGAAAAGGGGAACTTTTCACCACATGACATCTTAAATCAGTTTATAAATCTTTGTGTGGTCTTGGTTGTGTTGTCGTGCTTCTTTATATATCTGAGCTATTTTGTTTTTTAGATATTTTTGCTACGATGTCTCACACAAACATGCTATTGTATGGCTTTATCTTGGCTTGGATGTGGATTGTTAAGACTTGTGCAGACACTACAGGGCAGAAAATTGTCGATTTCAAGCTCCATGATAACTCAGTCTTAATGTGCTGTATTTACTTATCAGGGTCTTGCATCTGTGGTGACTTTTATCTGCAGCCAGATTAAATCAGTACGATCATCCTGTGCTTTTTCTCGACAGCACTTTCATTGTTCACATTATATTATAACCTTGGCTTGTTCCACCAGTGCCTGAACAGAATATGTAGGCATCTTTGTTTCTCTGAAAACCCTTTTCACTGGTTTGTTTTTTTTTCTTCTTCTCTGCAACAGATAAAAACAGACATGGTCTTGGTCATGTGCAAGAAGCAGACGACAAAGAAGTGGGACTGCCTAACAACCGTGGAAAAGCAGTCCAAAGAGAAAGAGTAAGCAGGGCTTCAGACTAACTTCTTCACTGGTAGCACTTGTGTGACCAACATTTTCTTATCAATAGACACGAGAGTTTTCCGATGTAGCCTAACCGGCCCACATTGCAGAGTGCAGTAGCTGCTGTTGGGTGGCTCAGACAGGTGTGCGACCAAAACATACTTTGAAAGGAGTAAACTAGGATGCTCAAATGTCAGATTTGTCCAAGATGAAACCACTTGATTTCTTTCCTACAATGCGGAGCACACCTACATGCACCGTTCTGCTCATAGAAAACAGCGAATGTAGGTGCACTCCAAATTTCAAGAGAAGTAAATACTATTGAAGTTATATTTTGCTTTCCACCGCTGTGGTTAAAGCAGTAGCCGGTTAGAGCGACACCAACACAGCGTAATGATGATCAACCGAAAAATTTTGAAATTTCAACTCACAAAAAAAGGCTCGAGCCCTGCTAAGTTTTAAATATATTAATGGATTTCAGTTTGCAGTAATTTGCAATTAAGGTTATGGCCGGCGCTCTCTCAAATGAATGAATTCCGAAAAAAAAATCCTGCAGGACATATGTGGGAAAATGTGTCATCAGTAGCTAATGACACTTTGGCAGGAGGAGTTGTGCCAAGAATAAATTGAACTCTCATTGCGAATCCATTTGAAACCCTGCTAATTTTCACATCCACATCTGGCTAATCGCTGAACACAGAACTCCTGAAGAATGCATTAGCCTGCACGCTGAAGTGCAGCGTCACTTCCGTGCGCCATCTGTCGCTGTGTGTTCAGCAGTGATTAAAGGCAACTTATGTCCCCTCCTTCAACACGAGAGTGATGGAAACACTTCAGTGCCATTAAGGTATTTTCTCGTTGCCTCTCAACAGCAAGCCCAGCATGGATGAGAACGCAGACCCGAGCGAGGGCCTGATGAGCATGCTGAAGAAGATCTACGCAGAGGGAGACGACGAAATGAAGAGAACCATCAACAAAGCCTGGTCAGAGTCCCAAGAGAAGAAAATACGAGGAGAAGACATGATGGACTTGTAAATGTTGCCGCTTTTTTCCACAGCAGGACCAAATGAGAGCTACGAGGGCCGCAGCAGGCTGTTCAATACTGAAGCCCAAGTGTACAAAGCTCACGAAAGATGGAATAATATTTAAGCCCTGGCTGGCCTCATTTTGGCCCTGCTTTGAAAACCAGGCTACCGATGTTCTATGAGTCACGCCTAGCCGCAGATCTCTTAATAACTTGTAAGGAAAATGTCCAACACGAGGCCGCCGTCCAGCAGAGGGCGACCTCGACACGACGAGTCATCAACACGGCTTCATCATGGTCGGCGTTAGATTCCAACACTCAGGAGCAGATCGTGTGCCGAGTGACATCTGTGTCCCTGTTGGCATTTCCCATCACCTCCAGCAGTTGTTCATGCCTTCCTGCAGGCTTGGAATCTAAATGTTTCATTACTTTTTCCTGGTGACGATATAAAGGACCACAATGCAGTTAGTTTCGTAGCTCTAGTTGTTGTTTTTCGTTTCAGGCTTCAATCTCCGTCAGTCTTTGCGGTTTAGATTAGACCAGAGTACATGTAATTAGTAAACATTGTTCCTGTGTGGATTCAACGCAGCTGAACCCAGCTGATATTTAAGATGTTTTCAAGCGTACACGCCGTTGCCAAAGCCGATTCCTGTTAACGAACACAACCAGAGGGCTCTTTTTACTTTTTAAAATGTCACATCAGCCTTTTTTTTTTCTCTCATTCCATAAATAGATCAGAATGATAGCAGCGGTTGTAATCTTGCATCAGTGCAGTGCAATAATTTACAGTAGAGCATGCATCTGTGTTTCAGATCTTTAATGTATTCTGCTCATTCCTGCTGCAAAATGTAGCCTTCTCAGAAAAAAAAACTAAACTTATTGTAACTTCCTGTCGTGTGTTTCCTCCTGTCATGTCTATGTAGCACTGTTCACATTGTACCTTTCATTCCAACATTGTGAAATGTATGTTTTCTTTTTTTAAATCATTTTATTGGGGCTATTGTTGAACTAATTGTTGCCTGTCCTCAGGTTGTTAATGCACTTCCAACAAATATAACTGTGGATCTGAACTCCTGTGTCGTCAACCATTCATTAGACTTCATGCTACCTTTAGCAGAGTCTGTCGTCTTCTTCCTTTTAGACACTCATTCACAGAGGCCCGTTCTAGAAACGCTGCATTTACCTATCTGCAATCTTAAAACAAACATTAAGCTTCGCAATAGTCCAGATGCTGTTTGAACCTACTTTTTTTTTTTTTTTTTAATGGTGCAGGCTTCTCTTCCTTATGTAAGCAGCCACTAAACAATAGCCCATTGGATAGAGATTTTTAAATCATTTATACTGACACAATCCTGCAGAGCCTGAGCTTTGGAGGTGCGTGTTTCATCCACCAGGTGGCAGCTGCATCCAGTAGTCCACATTTCTCAGGGGAGGTTACACACACACACACACACACACACACACACAGGGGAAATCTAACCCAAGATTTTACTGTACACATGTAGGGACTGTGGATTCTGGAGGTTGGGGGGGAATTCTGTTAGACTACAATATTTTATAATTGTAGGATTCATGCTAGAATGCAGCTGATTAATAGATGTAGGATATTTTCAGGACTCTTTTTTTTTTTTTAATATATATAATCTCCTTCAAATAATGAAAGCTCAGGCTTAAAATGAAAAGATCCTATTTCTCTTCTTACTTAATAAACTGAGATTAAACACACTAACCTCCCCCCTGGAGACCCTCCTCTGGGTTCACAGCCTCCAGACATGAGCGACATCAACGTGAGAGATTTTTTTTTTCTTCCCCCCCTCTGAGCTTCTTTCATTCATATATTTTGTCTCAGATTCCGGATCAAAAATTTTTTGATTGAGTTTCGGTTTGAGCAAATCGTCTGGACTTTCTCCACCGGTGCGCCACCTTCTCTCCGCCCACAGCTCCGTGACGCGGCCGCTCCTCCTTTATAACGCGCCGCGCTGCGTCCAGACACGCCAGATGGAGACACGAGTGGGACGCATCGCCACGCACCACACCGGTTATTGAATAGAAAGGAGAAAAAAAAAACACAGAATAATAGAGGCGAAAGGGATTTCTATACGAGGCGATCGCTCACACCACTGTGCTAAATGGATACCGGTTGTTTCAGCGCGGCGCAGCGTATTTCGTGCCACGCCATGAATGCGGATTTATTTAAGGCTGCTCCGGAGCGTGGACCCCAGCAGCCCTCCTCTGCCCCGGCGAAAAACAGCAGGAACAAACCCGACCAAACCAAACCAGAGCTGGCTCAAGTGGTGACAGACTCCAAGACGGGCAGATCCTACAGTAAAGGGAAGCTTTTGGGAAAGGTACGGAGGTTTCATTTCACATCTCCAGACTGGATCTAGAATCTGACTGTTTAAGAATCGCTCGGTGTTGTTTTTAGATAAATGCGGAGGCTCTGGGTGATTTAATATTCATAATGAGCTGTCGTCCAGGTGTGTTTGTGATGCGGGAACATAGAATGACCTCGTGGTGGATGTGACCAATCTTGCCCCTGGTGTGCGCGTCATTGCTGAATGAATCAGGCGCAAGGTGTGCCCGGCTCGTGTGCGCACACATGGCTGGCAACACCTTTTTTTTATGAAAAAAAAAAAAATGTCGAGATCGATTCTTCCCAACACCAGCCTCAGACGAATGTTCCACCCAGAGACACATCTGTGCGCCTGTTCCGCGGGTTGTCGCCGCTGTGCTGGTTTTCACTGTATGTGCTGCGTATGAATGGAAACGACTGTATCAACATGTTGCTCGTCATCGATACGCTGCGTCGGGCAGACAGCCAAGTCTTTTTTCCTCTGCTGCCTGCCGCAGAGCTGGAAACGTCTCCGTCAGTTTCACGGTTAATGAATGCAGCAGCTCGGTCTGCCTCATCCTTCATGTCCCCCCAGCATGTGATCGCATCAAGCAAAATGCATGATTAAACAGCACATCCAGGGCTGATTGTCTTCTGTTTTTTAAAAAGGTGCATCAAAGGATGCTGATGATCTTGATTATAAAATGGTGCATCTGCCCAGACTGAACCGTTTTTCATTAGTATTGTGCTAAATCCTGGATTGGTTATTTCCTTTTATGTATAATTGAAATCCTCCACAGCAGGCTTTCAGAATTGGCTAAATTATTGATGAATCATTTTTGATTGCTTCGTCTCAAGCTATTGATCCTCGGGTCAAAGACTTGCCATTGAGGCAGATTATTTATGGCCATTGCAGGTTTTTAACCTGCTGCTTTTGTTAACTGATTATTCTGTGTCTCCCAAGGGTGGCTTTGCCAGATGCTACGAGATGACAGACCTGTCCAACAACAAAATGTATGCTGTGAAGGTGATTCCACAGAGCAGGGTGTCCAAACCACACCAGAGGGACAAGGTACATAACCTCACCTCTTTCGTATCCTCGGTGTGCCTCACCGAGTCCCTCGCTCAAAATCAATACCTGGATTGTTTTTAAAGGGCTGAAATATGTACACAAATTGATCGTTTGTCAATTTTCGACAGATCACCAATGAGATCGAACTGCACAAAACCCTGTCGCACAAGCATGTGGTGAAATTCTCGCATCATTTCGAAGACCAAGAAAACATCTACATATTCCTCGAGCTCTGCAGTCGGAAGGTGAGACTTCAGAATCATCTAGAACAGTCTGCACAGCTTACCTCTGCTTCGCACGTACACCGTTTGCCTTGTTTTGCTCCACAGTTGCACTAAACAGCCTTTATTAATATTTTAGATCTGATTTAACCCTCTTGGGTCGTGGCCATTTTTCCCCTAATAGTGCTGCCTTGAGTCTTTTACTATATTAAAAACACTCAGTGCAGCAAGGTGCAAGTAATTGATATTTGTCATTGCAGTCTGGGCTGTTTGAATGTGTGTGCTGCAGTGATGCCCACTGACTTTATGAACAATGACCCACAGTTTTAAGGTATCCAAGTTTAACAGACGAGTCACTGTTGATCTCATCCGAATGACAACACCATCTAATTTTCATGCGGCTGCAGGGCTGTGTGTGTGTGTTTGCGTGTCTGTGGCGATGCTGTACCGTCCCGCTGACGAATGCGGGGTTGACAGTTCACCCATTGCTCTGTCTCTGCAGTCCCTGGCACACATTTGGAAGGCGAGACACACGCTCACGGAGCCAGAAGTGCGATATTACCTCAAACAGATCATATCCGGCCTCAAGTACCTCCACAGCAGAGGGATCCTGCACAGAGATCTCAAACTAGGTATGTAAACCAGCGACTGGAACGTGGCGTGTGCGCACGCGAAAGCATCCCAGGAATCTGCTGTGACTTTTTGGGTGCAGACGCATGTTATCTGTGGAATGCTGACTGGACGAATGGTTTTGTCTCTTTCAGGCAACTTCTTTGTCAACGAGAACATGGAGCTGCGGCTGGGAGACTTTGGCCTCGCTGCCAAGCTGGAAACAGTGGAACAGAGGAAAAAGTAAGAGTTAAAACGTTCTTTTTTTTGGCTACCATTTTAAAATGATTCTCACAAATAGTCAATTGAATCATCTCATTGTTAAATAAAACATTCATGATGGGTCTCCGGATGTCAGACACAGCTTCTCGCTAAGACTTTAATGCCTTACAAAAAGTAGTTCACTCAAAACCATTACCTCAGTCGCTCATTCTTCCTCCCACAACTTTCCCCCAGTAAGTACCTAACTAAACCGGTTTTCAAGTGGCAGTTGAATGTAACGCTTAGAGCAGAGTTTCAATACCTGTTTGACATCTTCCTGTGGAATACCAGCAGCCTGAGTGTGACAGGGAAAAAAAAAAAAAAAGAAGCCGTAACAACCGCTGTGTTGTCGGCACGAAGCCATCAAACAGAAACTACGTGAGAAAGGTTTGAAGTGTTAAATCTAACCTGTTGCTTGTTGGGTTTTTTTTTTTTCCTCAGAACAATCTGTGGGACTCCCAACTACCTGGCCCCCGAGGTGCTCAACAGACAGGGCCACGGCACAGAGTCTGACGTGTGGTCACTCGGATGCGTCATGTGAGTTTTGTTTTTTTTCTTGTTTATTTTAGCCGAGAGTTATTTGATTTATAAAGTAGATTGTGTGTGTGTGTGTTTTCGGTTTAATCTAAGCTTCATCTTATCTCAAATCAGTAGAGGGAAAAAAACAAACACTTTCTTTGACATCTTTAGTTATTCCTTTGTCTTGATTTGGCCTTCGTTTCTCCCTCGCAGGTACACACTGATGTGCGGCAACCCTCCTTTTGAGACTCTTGACTTGAAAGAAACGTACAAGTGCATAAAGGAGGTTCGGTACAACCTGCCATCCACGCTTTCCCCCGCTGCACAGAAACTCATCTCAGGCATCCTCCAGAAAAATCCCAGTGACAGACTCACACTGGACCAAATCCTCAACCACGAATTCTTCACCAAAGTACGTTATAATGCTCCTAGCAGCTCTGCCAGTGTTATAAAACTGTGACGGAGACTTAAAGCTATTCTACTTTTTGCTATTAGCTGAAGATCACAATGCTGCTTCAGGAGTGTGAAAACGGTGTGAACGAACTGTGTGCCGTCCTTTTTTTTTTTTTCTCACCAGCTTGTCTCCACGCTTTCTTTCTCTCTCAGGGTTACACTCCTGACAAACTTCCCCCCAGCAGCTGCGTGATGGTGCCAGAGCTTCACCCCCCGAGCCCTGCCAAGAAATTCTTCACTAAAATGGCCAAGAGCCTCTTTGGCAAGAAGAAAGCAAAAGGTAAGCAGCGAGAGAAGCAGCCAAGTGACTGACACACGGGAAGACTAGGTCATCCGTTTTTAGAAAGTCATTTGTTAGCTACATATTTGTGCCTTTCCAAATGTAATTATGCGGCACCTGTCATCTTGTTAATTAGATTTTTGTCTCACGAGAACTTGAATTTAAAAAGCCTTCAAACTGGAGAACTGGATCCTGTTCAGTTTTCCTTAAAGCATCTCCAAAAACCGCTGCAGCCGTTTGAACGCGTTTAAAAATATATATTTGCTGTGACTACAACGCGTGAATCTTTTTGTCTTCGCAGTGGAGAAGATTCCGTGCGAAGA